TGATTGATTTGTTGTTTTCCCTTTTCCAAATGTAAATCCTTGGTGGGTGGATAGATTCAGAGCCAGTGTTGTATTATTCAAGTCTGACTCAAGTCTAGATTTTCAGGACTTGTGACTTCTACTTGGACTTGAGCATTGACTGCATTTGGACCTGGAAGTTGAAGACTCAAACTCTGACTTTTTTTGTAATAGGCCGTAATAATTTGGCATAAAATACTGACATTAAAACCTGTTCTCTTGCACCATGCTGTATCCGGCATACTTCCATTGAAGTGTACACTTCACCTTTCTATAAATGATTTTTTATGTATCAAATTGCCACGCAATACACTGTTAGAAAGTGTGGAATATAAACAAGTGAGAGCTGTGGCAGTTGCGTTTAATGTAGACCTTGATGAGTCTGACTCGGGCAACAGGGACTTGACTCAGACTGAAGACATGAGGACTCAAGATGAGGTTTAGTGACTCGACTACAACACGAGTCAGAGCAAGCTATTGTTTTGACTCTTGAAGAGATTGTTTGTATGGTGGAACACAGTTATGCTGATATACAGTAAGAGAATGGTATGATACATGTTCCAAAGTACTTAAAACTGAAATATTTGCTTCATTTTCAAACATAAAAGTGCTTCAAAACCTGACAAAAATTTAAATTTAAAACCACACTCCCTTTTAACAGTCAGATTCTGTTCAGAATAACTGATACTGTGGCTGCTGACAGCACAGGAGTAGTTTTCTCCATGCCGACTGCTGGCTGTGTCTAGAACCAACTGTTTGTTTTGGTTCTCTGGCAGCAGGGTCAGAGGTCAACTGTTCAAGTACCAAATGTAGTTTATTTCATTGGTCAGAGGACAGCTGGTGCTGCAGGTCAATGTGACTCTCTGACCCTCTGTCACCAATGCAGAAGGCCTCATAGTCACTTTCATGCCTTGAATACACAGACAGAATTATTACATATTGACTTGCAATCAACACTGTTCTTGATAAAAACATTTTAAGAAAACATTAAATATGCATGGAATACTGTATGCATTATCCTTTTTAGATGGAATTATGACTTTAAATGTAATCATACCTACAGTTACACTACATTAGTTTATATTAGTTTGGCTCATTGGGGTTTATGAATGCCCTTTCCTGGGTTTTTGACCTATACTGCAACCACCCACCAGGGGGCGATGGACTTGTGGCCGCTTCACAGCGTTTAAAGGTGCTTTAAAAAATCTGTAATATTTCAGTAATAATTATTATATTTGTTTATTTGTATTCAAGATTTTTTGGCATCTTTGGCTACGTTCACATTACAGGCCTTAATGCTCAATTCCAATTTTTTTTAAGTGACATGTATCTGGCTCCAGTGTGAACACCGCTGAGGTCCTACACCGTCCCACATGCACACATTTAACTGAAATGTGAGTCATGTATGTTCAAGAATACCAACATAATTTGTATGAAGGTCACAACTTTGTGCAATTAACTAAAAAAAATGACCAGTTACAATATCCTCCTTCCAGTTTGGCTTGACCAGAAACTTCTCCATGAATGTCCAACAAATTTGAGGCTTCCTCGTCTCTCCCTTGGTGTTGCTGCTCTCCACCATAATTATTTTTTTATCGGTCTATGAGAGTCCAACAGTGAATGATGATGACAGGTGTTATGCACAAAGACACGCGATGTTTAAAAAAAGCTATGAGTCCTAATCTGACCATTCTGACAGTGACTACATAGTTGGATACAAATCGGATCTGGGGCTACATATGCAAGTCAGCTTGTTCAGCTAGATCAGGTCACGATAAGAGGAATATTTATCAGATTGTGGTCAGTGTGCAGGTGTTACTTCTTCCTTAATACCGCCTTAAATATGTGATGTGTGTATAATTACATTCCTTCACTTGTTGGTGTATATAAGTGGCCCAAATAATGTACATTTATTTACATGCATTTCTTCATTTCTTTACTCTAAAATGCAATGATTTATGTTTTGGGGACTTGTTT